GCGTATTCTGCCTCCCCCCTCCCCGCCGGTGCCGCCCTGGCCGAGAGCCCCGGAGACGCTGCGGGGTCGCTGGCGGGGTACGGCAGCAGCTCGGAGCAGGGGGCGGCCGCCGAACTGTCCGACTCGGCGCTCGATGGGAAGGAGGAGCTGGACGAGTTGGAGTTCACGACCCCGACGCCCAACGCCGGTGACCTCCAACAGTACTCAGACTCGGAGAGCACAGGCCAAGCCAGGGGGGACCTGGCCAGAGACCGAACGGACGAGGGGAAGGCTGCCCCGGACTCTGCCGCGCAGCCCAGCGTGAAACCAAAGAAACGGAGAAAGAGCTACAGGAGTTTCCTGCCGGAGAAGAGCGGTTACCCTGATATTGGGTTCCCCCTCTTCCCTTTGTCCAAGGGGTTCATTAAAAGCATCCGCGGTGTCTTGCAGCAGTACCGGGCTGCCTTAGCAGGGGCCAACATCCCAGAGTGGACAGAGGACAAATAAACCATCAGGATAGGGACAGGCAGGTGCAGGGGAGAAGGGAAAGCAGCAGAAAGTAAATTGGCAAATGCTGTTACCAATCAACTGGCTTCTCCTTCCAGCTTTTCTTCCTCAGCTTGGTTTGTTCCAAAGAAGGTGGTAGGCCTGATTGCTCCTCTGAGGAAAGGTTTGTCTAAGCATGAATAACTCTTTGCCCCCAGCCCCTTTTCCTTCCCCCTGTCCCATGTACGTGCTCTTCTTGCAAGTTTGACCCTGCAATGGTAAGATTTGAGACCTGCACAGAAGCAGTCTTGCAGCCACGTTCCCTCTGCACTTTCATCTTGGGGCACCTTTCCACACAAGGACTCTTCCCACCCAGTGCTACACCCAGCAGTTTTTTCTGGTGGGGTTCCAGCCAGAAGAAGGGATTGCTGTAGTTTCTGGAAATGAAGGGCAATGCCCTCCCAGTCTTTCATTTTTCTCGGCGTTCCCATGGGTTCTATGAAGTCTACCCCAGCTTATCTGTACTTAGACATTGGATTGTGTTGCATTGGCGTTGTCTACACCATACAGAGTTGCTCTAGTCTTAGTTGTTCACTGATAGCTACAAGGTTCTTCCAGTTGGGATTGGTAGGCAGGGCCAGAGCTCTGCACTGGCTCTCATGCTGCCCTGGTAGTGCTGCGGGGTTTCCATCCAGTTCTGCAACTTCCAGTCGTTCTCCTGGAAGCAAGTCTAGCCATCCCCACTTCTTTTTCTCCAGAGTAAGGCAAACTTCCCTTTTCCCCACCATGCATGCCTGTCTTCTAGAAATACATGGGATTCAGGGTTCTGCCCTCGTTTCTTGCTTAGGTATCCACATCTTTTGTTCCCAGCCATCCCGGCTGTCACACAGCACTACACCCACCCTGGATCCCAGCCTCATCCGGGCAGGCAGCAGCAAATGATCCTTTTGTAGGTCTGGCAGGAGTCTGGATGGACCTGGCATGGCTGCTGCTCCCTCATCCAGCTGTGCAGGGGTGTTCCGGAGCGGTTTGAGCCAAGGGAAGGAGCTGCCGTGTCGTGGTGAGGCCCTGTTGCAGCAGCAGCAGTTTGTGGCGGTTCCTGTGCTGTTACATCAGACACTGGTGTGGGCTGTTATCAGCTCCTTCCCTCGCCAGCTGTTTCCTGGGGTGGGTCAGCTCTGCTCAGCAGTGTTGTGGGCACAGCACCTCCTGTCCCTAATCCCAACCACAGCACTGCTGGAAGCTCTGGGAAACAGCTGGTGAGGGCAGGCAGTGCCTCAGCAGCCTGAGCTGGTGACCATGAGCACTTTTTGAAGCAGTGACTTGCCAGAGTCCCGTGGTCAAGACACCTTCCCCAGGCCTCTGGTCCTGTCTGCAGACACTTACCTTTGCTTCTAGAGCTGAGAGGTCACACTCCAACACTACTGCCTTTGCCCAGTGTTCAGGCATGGGAGAGGCACCCATTTAGCATCCATGTGGAGCACAGTCTGTCAGGGAGAGTCCATTGGTCCTTCCAGCTGCACAGGGAGACAGTGGTGCCAGGCTTCCTGGGGACCAGTCGAGCTGAGCAGATGGCTCTGCCAGAAGTAAGGATGGAGCCAAAGCTCTCCTTTGCTCTTGCTCAGTATGGCTGTGGCCTCCTCCCCTCACCCCAGGCCAGGGTCTGGCCTCAGTTAGAAACAAGGAACAGCAGGAGAATGCCACATGCTGGCATGGTGCTTTCTGCTCCCTCAAACACCAAGGGCTGCACCCACCAGCCCCAATCCCCCCCTCCAGCTCCCTGCTCTTTCCAGCTGCCCCCCGATGCTCCAGGGGTGGCTGCACAAAGCCCTTCCAGTGTCCCCATCCACACTGCTGGGATTTTGGAAGGCACAGGCTGCTCCCGGTGCTCTGGAGGACACAGGGCTTGGCTGTGAGTGCAGACCTGGGCTGAGCTCTCTCCAGGTCCCGTCTGTGGGTGGGTTGCCTGTGCAGTGGCTCTGGCCCTGCTCTGGCACTGGGAGCTCTCCCTGCCTGGCAGGTGGGAGGTCTGGCAGACCCAGCTTTGGGGTGCAGAAGTGCTGAGAGCCCTGGGCAGGGCAGTGTGAGCTGCAGCCACGGCCACGTTCTGCGATGAATGGATCCCTTTGAGCGGAGCACGGGAGCGTCTCCAGAGTGTCGGGGCCGAGGGGTGAGGCTGCTGCTGCAGGGCAGGGGAAGGGCAGGCAGAGAGGCTGGTTCCACAAATGATTAAACCTCTTCCAGGCAAAACCACGGTTGGTGATCCACAGACACTACCTCCTCTGTCCCCAGTGCCGGGCTGTGGCTGCCCTGAGCCCCCATCGGACAGGGAGGGAGGGAGAAACCCTCTGGGGGTGAAGGAGCTGTAGGGTTCCACTGTGCCCCCCCTTTACTCTCTGCACCTCTCATCTCACAGGGCAGGGGCTGGGCAGGCAGCGTGTCCTCCCCCTCGCCCGAAAAGTCTCTGATCCTTGTCAAGAGCTTTTGCACAGGCTGCTGGGGCTCCCTTCGAGGAGGTGTGTGAGGCCTTCTGGACTGGGATGCTGCTCCCCCCAGCATCGCTCGCTCTCTGCAGCTGTCCCAAACCCAAGCGTGCACAGAGGTTTACAAATTTTCTAAAGCTTTTGATAATGTGAAGCTCCTGGGTGATGAGGTTGGTGGTGAGCACACTGCAGCTATGTAATTTTTTTGTGTATGTATGTAATATTTAAGGGTAACAAAATTTAAAAGGCTAAAACCTTAAAAAAAAAAAATTTAAAAACACACAAAAAAAGCCAAAGCATGATGCATATTGTTAGCCTTAAAACTGGCTACACGACTGTGTGATGTACAAATGAGAGCAGCCTGTAACTGTTTTAAGTGCTGGGGTTGGGGAAGAAGCATTACAAAATCAGTTTGTAGCCTTGATTCTGTACAGTATTTAATGAATTAAAAAAAACCCAGACCTGACTATTGAGGCCATGCTTAGAGGTGTGTCGTTCACGTGCAGATGTGGATGCTTGGTTGCTTACGATATATGTATAAAGTGCTGTGTGACCATTAAAACTTTTTTTACCTGCAGATTTTTTTTGTTTGGCTAACCAAGGTGTAATAAAGGAGGGAAGATGACTTGCCATTAAATTTTGCCTCTGTGAGTAGTTCTGACTGCTGTCTCTTTCTTTCCCTTCCCACCCCCTGCCGCGTTTCTGGCACTTCTCCGGCCCACCCCTTGTGCCAGGCTCTGGGCTGGATGGGGGGGATGCCGTGTTTGCCCTCCGTGGGTGCCCTCCCTCACCCCCTCTGGCTGCAGGAGCGGTGTCTCGGTGTGCTGAGACTCACGGCTTTGCAGGAGTTGTTCAGACCTCTCGAGGGGTGGGCGGCAGCTCTGCCACCTCCCTCGGGTGCCGGGAGCGAGGGGCTGTATGGGAGGATCAGCCCGTTGCTGCTGTCTAACAGGTTTTGGAAGCAGATGGGTGATGGAAAGGATGCGCAGCAAAACCTGGGAAAGGGGAGGGCAAGGGTGATCGAAGGCGACCTGCTGTTGTGAGGCACACAGCCATTCCCGGTGGAGACTCCAGGGAGCCTTTCAGGTGCTGTGAGCCTGAACGGCTCCGCTCTGCTGAGCTGTGTCACTTGGCAGACACAGCCAAGAGCTCAGAGCGTGTCCCCTGCCCTGGGCTCTCCCTCCAGCAGCTCAAGAGGGTTAGAGAGTTACTGCTCAGCCTGTTTTTACACCTGGCCCAAAGCCACGGGGGAAATAACTTTATTCTGGGAGGTGGTTCCCAGCTGCCGCCTGCCCTGCTGGCTCAGGGACAGGAACTCGGCTCTCCATGAGCGAGTGGGGCCGGGGGGGAGGACAATCGTGCTCTTCTTTCCCGGATCTGCCATCCTAATTGCATAGTTTGCAGATGAATAAATGCAAACAGCCACCACTGTTTACTCTCCTACTTTGTACTTGAGCGCTGTAAATGAGGTTTAATTACTGCAATTTTATACCAAACAGGCTGAGTAATCCCCCCCAGGCGAGCCCCCGGGCAGGGACCTGTCGCAGGGCTCCAGCTGGCCCCGAACTGCCCGGGAAAGGGGATTTGAGAGCGCCCCACAGGGCCCCTACTCCCGGCAGAAAGCCAAACCCCTCGGCTCCAACAACCCCCTCCCTGAACCTCTTCCATGAGACTTTCCCTGCTCTCCCTCCGAGGCACTGAACCTTCCCCAAGATGTCCCCAAGTGTCACTGCAGGGCTGAGCTCCCTGGATTCGATCAGACACAGCGTGAGGCTGAGCCGGGAGGCATCGACACACCCCAAAAATCGGGGCGGGTGGCAGCAATGCCCCACGTCCTGCCTCCTCGGCATCTCCCTTGGGAGCATCCCCTGGTTCCATCGCTCCGTGCTGGTCTTGGCCCCAGGGTGCCAGGGAGAGAAGGGCCACGGCGCTGAGCTAAACCCATCCTGACATCTGCGTGTGAGCCCAGCCCAGGGTGACGGCACCGCAGCCCTGCCCCTGACACCAGCCATGAGCTCGGATTTAAAACCCGGGGGAGGTTTGGTTTTTTGTGGTTTTTTTTTTGCAAACGCTAGACATTTATTGCATTTATCACAAGAATAAACTCTGCTTCTAACAGGAAGCTTTGGGTAGAAACATTCTTTAAAAAAAAAGTCGGTTTCCTGTATTAGATCTATTGGTCCTGACCATCCCTGGGGGGGTGGCACTGGCTCCGCGGCGGGCGGGGACACGAGCAATGCCACCGTGTGCGTCCGAGCCGGGGAGGGGACGGGGCTGTGCCGGCGCAGCCGCCTGGACCGGGACCTCGTACCAGGATGAAACACGCTGGCGTCTCGCCGGCACCGAGTACCTGATGGGGCTCGTGGCTCATTTTTGGGACAGCGCTGATGGCTGTCCCCGAGGGGGTAAAGCTAAGCGTGGGGGCAAGCGAGGGGACGAGCCCCGCAGCCCCCAAGACCTATTGCTACGGGAGGAGGAGGAGGAGGAGGAGGGGGATGTTCCTGAGTGGGAGGAAGGCTCTGCCACCCTCGTGCTGGGCCGTGCCGGCAGCTCAGCGCTGCAGGGAGGGCGAACCCGGAGCTCAGGAGCCGCTGACGACGCGGCAGAGGCGGCCGTGGATCTGGCCCTGCACGGGCTCACACGCCAGGGCCTCGCCGTCCACCGTCATGATGCCCGCGGCCACCCGCGGCTCCAGGCGGAACGCCCGGACGGGGACGTAGCACAGGTGGGGACAGTTCAAGTCCAGGTGGGTCCCCCTGGACATGGCCAGGAAGAGCTTCAGCAGCGCCACGCGGCTGATGCCGGCCTTCATGTAGAAGAGGTGGATGCAGCCGTCGTGCAGCCGGGCCGCCGGTGCCATCAGCAGGTTGGTGCCCAGGTGGGACTGGTAGATGGCGTAGACCAGGACGAACTCCTCCTCGGGGACCACGGTCCAGTGCGCCGGCACCGCCTGCCCCAGCGGCGCCAGCAGCGAGTCGGTGGGCAGGGAACCGGGCGCGTCCGTCCCCGCCGGCGGCAGGACGTGGCCGGCCTGGCCGTTGGGGACAGGCGTGGAAGGGTCCCTGGGGGCCGGGGAGGGGCCCTGCTCGGGGCCGGCGGGCAGGTAGGACAGGCGGCCCTGGTACACCCGCAGCTTGGCCAGGCACTGCAGGGTGCCCAGGGTGAAGCGGGCGCTGCCCAGCCAGCGGTACTTCTCGCTGTCGATGTCCACGTCCGAGATGAAGCCCCAGCCGAAGCCGAGGAAGGAGAAGAAGCGCTTGCCCGAGGCCGTGCTCAGTGAGACCAGGTCCATCTGTGTGTGCAGCCCCTTGCACAGGATGAAGGTGCAATTCGTCAGCAGCTTCTTCTTGGCGACGTGATCGTAGCTGCGAGGGGATGGAGAGGGTGAGTTTGGAGCTCAGGGCCCCTTCCTGCTGTCCCAACATCCACCTGCAAACCCTTATTGTCATGGTTGGGACATATCCCAGCTGGGTGACAGTGTCCCTCAGGGACAGCTGCTGGGAGAGGTTTAGCTGGGGGTGGAAAGGATAAACCAGTTCCTGAAAGAGGGTACTGAGTCATGGCAATCCTGATCCCCCCACTCCACAGTAAGATTGGCTGTGCCTGGGGTGGATCCTTTAGGGTAAAGCTTTACCAGACTCTGAGCCCAGAGAGGAGAAAGGGAGTGTGGGGAGGTGGGTACACAAGGATGCAATCCCATGCTCATGGCTGTTCTACACCAGCCTGTGGGTAGGTGAGGACCCCGACAGGCACCCCTGGACATCCCAGCACCCTCCCCCTGGGCCAGAGCCCTGCATGGCCTTTCTCTTCCCCCACCTGGTGCCAGCACAGCCCTGTATGCTGGCCAGTGCAGTGCAGACAGCAGGTGCCCCACGGGGCCAGGACTCACCCTGCATAGTAGTTGATGGAGGCAGCCAGGGCATTCCCAGAGCCTCCTGGCAGGATGCACAGCGGCTTCTTCATGGTGTCCTTCCAGTCCGGACGCTCCATGAGCCCGTTCACCACCTGCAGGGATGAAGGAGTTCGTGGCACCCAAGGAATCCAGCTGAGGGGGAAAGAGCTCACGGTGTCCCAGGCCAGGCCAGGACGAAGGCCATGGCTGCTTTGCTCCAAGCCTGGTGCCATCTCTCCTTTGCCATTCCCTGCCTGCCTTTCTCGTACCAGAGGTTGGCTCCTGCCCCGGGCACCCCCTTCTCCTGGCTCTCTGCCCAGCCCAGACGCCCCAAGGTGCCCCTCACCTCGTACAGCAGCCCGTCCCCAGACATGACCACCAGCGTGTCCCACTGCGACAGGTCCTCATCCCGCACCTTCTCGTGCGCGTGGTGGGGTCTCTCTGCAGGGGGAAGGTGGAGAGATTTGAGATCACCCTCTGTCTGCCTGCTGCCACCCCCCAGATGGTGACCCCAGCCAGGGGTTCAGGAGGCGAGGCTCTCACCCCTCTTGAGCACAACCAACCCACAGGACCCAGAGCTGCGGTGATGCAGGAGGAACGAGGCCATCGGAGGAGCCCAGGTAAGATCCCAGGGAAGGGAGGAGAGGGAGGAGGAGGAGGAGGAGGAGGAGGAGGAGGAGAAGGAGGAGGAGGGAGCTGCTGGCAGACTCACCGGTGATGAAGATGGTGGTGGCAATCTCAGCCTCGGCCAGCATGGGCTGCACCACGGCCTGGAAGTCGTCGAGGGCGCGGCCGGAGCCGCTCTGCGGGTTCAGCAGCACCAGAGCACGGCAGGGCCGGGGCAGCACCCCATAGCTGTCACCTGCAGGGGGAGAGGGGGCTCAGGCTGCTGGGTCACAGCACTGCCCAGGGAGGGCTTTGCCATCCAGAGCAGCGTTTGCCAAAACCCTGCAGGAAGGGGAGCTGCCCCTCCCTGATCCCTACAAGCTCCCTGGGCGGCATCCCTACCCAGAAGCAATGGGGGGTGAGCAGGGATGGAGGGTCCCTGCTGGGAATGCTGAGGAAGCAGCAGAGGTGGGACCTGGGGGCCTGCAGGGGCTCACCTTGAGCTCCCCCACAATCAGCAGGGATGTTTTACACCCAGGATGGGGCCCCGCAGCACCCCAGCCATTCCACAGCAGGAGGACAAGGGCTCCAATTCCCCACATCCCCCCAGATGGAGAGGGGCCAGGACAGCCAGCTGAGCCGGTAGACGGACACTTCTGCCTCCCCTGCTCCCCACGGGGCTCAGGTTTCGCCTGCGAGGGCCTCAGTCGGGCTGTA